AACTAAATAATGATTTCTTGTCATATTGCTTTTTCAGTGCATCAATCTATGAAATTCCACTCTAGCATTACAACGTAATGCAAGCCTAGTAAATCGTTCCCAACAAAAGTTCATTCCTTCTACCTTATTCTCCACAAATTAACTTCAAAATTCAAGATAATTATAATCTGTTACGGTCACAAACACTAGAACCATCCAACCTTATTGAACTCTAAACCCACGACCTTTCTTGGCCCTAAAACTACTAAAAATTCAAGTGTAGACAGCATCATCCAAGTTTCCTAAACTATCCTACATCACAATTTAGTCGTAACAAAATGTGCATATGGACCCAGGAAAGAGTGTATTTATTACCAATGAATCCTTTGAGTAGTATAGAATGCGAGGCAAACTTAGGATCGTGGTTGCAAACCAATTAGTAACAGCATCAACAGAAAGCTCTCCCTCATACCTGCATCAAACAATCAAAATGATGTTAAAATTTCCTTTAGAATCCATCAAGTAGAAAATTATAAGACAAATCCCATAATATATATATATATATACAGAGAGAGAGAGAGAGAGAGAGATTGCATTGGGCATAAATAGAAATGTGCAAAGTTATAAAGCTTGTGTGTTGACTTTAAAACCCACAATGCAGCATGAGGGCAGCTTTCAAAATTTAAACCTGAGGCGGAAACTCACCTAATTAGACAATTTGCAGTGTTACATCCAGAGGGAAATGCAATGAGTGAATGCAAGCCTGTACATATCAAATGAAGTTAAAATAGGGGGAGAAGTCAAGTGCTTATAACAATAATAGTTGTTCTCCCAACTCTTTAACAAGCATAATCAAACAATATATATAAATGGCAAACAAGAAAATATAAAATAATTTATTCAATTGAAAGCATGACTAGATTCCAAAAAGTGATGGAAAGTTCTTACTAGGGACAAAATCAAGTGACAATCATTTTAGTCATAAAATCCAGATTTACTGTCTACTAAGGGTGGGCATCGACTGGGTTGGATCAGGCTTCCACTTTATAGTAAGAATAAATGCATTATCCCAAGGCCTGCCCAACCTCGGCCCTAATCTAACCATCCCAAATTCGGCCCTAAAAATACTTCTACATCCCAAGCCCGCACAATTAACTCAGTATATTCCTTTTGCAGTTCATTTATGTCAGGATGCAGTCCTATTTTTTTGCGGTTCCATTTGCAGGTTTTTAAAAATTTAGTTTGCAGTGCTTGATCATTCACATTGCGTATAATTCATGTAAATTATATGAAAGAGAGCAAATATTTGATCCATAGCTTAGGAGATCAATATCTATTGGTGAGATTTTGTGCTGTAAAATCCCAAAGATTGCTCAATGAACTGTTTTGGATGCGTATAGAGGCAAAGAGTCCTAGTTTTTTTTAGTTTCTTGGTAATTATTCTAAAATTGAAATTTAAAAAATCTGATAAACTATTTACCATTTTGAAAGGAAGGCTGCCCTGTAAATGTCTTCTCAGCAAGGTAAGTAGCAAGCTGAACTTCTCCAAGTTCAACCATTCCAGTATTTGCCATGCCATCCAACAGAGAAGCTGAACAAATAAATGAAAACAAAAACCACTTCTATCAACAAGGTAATCTAGAAACATAAAACTTCATAGAGAAAATGAAATAGAACCAAGTTGATCAATCCAACCAAGAAAAGGAAAAAGACAAAAGAGTGGAATAAAGAATGATACAAGAAAACAAATATTAGCCAAGGTAAGCAATTTGTTACTTAGATTCTTATAATAGAACGACTCTTTTTTCAATGTTCATCGAGAACAAAAGACAAAATGCATATACTTTTGCTTCCAGACTTACATCAGCCCCCCCCCCAAAAAAAAAGACAAGAACTGTGTTGGCATTCTTTCATATCACTGGTCCCATTTACCTCCCTATGGTATGGTCCCCGTAGCACTTTACCCCTTATCTTTTAAAAATAGCCACAAGTCCCCCATGTGGTTGTGGATTAAATTGCAATACTAACTGTTAACTTTAGTGATAAAAAGACAATTATACCCTTGTTTTCTTCCTCTACTTCTCATTATTTGTGTAAGAATAAATGTAAAACAAATAAATAAATCAAACTTGCCTCAATTAAGAAACTTGATTTTTTTAACTTCTAACTTAATTTCTAAATTTGTAACCTAATTACTAATTTAATCACATCTTAAGTTGTAATATATCCATATACATATATATATTACCATTAGCAGGCAACACAGAGTTTGAAAAAAAAAAAAATTGAAAGTGTAAACAAAAAAAAGAAGCATAATAAACAAATGGCTAAACAATAGAAGAACTGTCGAAGCATGGGAGGGTTGGTGAATCTCAGACAAATGCTAAGATTTGTCATTACGATTTCAAAAAAGGGACCGAAATCAAACTTGATATCATATTATTTCATCATCACAGAAACAAGATTACATATTACCCAAGTCTCTGTCTATATATAGTGCATATATATATGAACTATTTAATAAGTTAAGAATGAGTTTTGTCATTCGGTTTGCAGGAGTCACAGATTCTGCCAATTGCATTGCAGTGACAAGGGAGTCTGTACAGTGGCCAGGCCAATGGTTGAGAGGAAGAGACGGTGGCTAGGCGGCAAGGAGGGAGGTGGTATCTAGAAGGTGGGGAGGATGGCAGGGAAAAGTGGGAGGGAGTGGGGGTGGCTGAGAGGTGGGAGAGTGGGGAAGGGGTGGCTGGCATGGTGGAGGAGGTGATGGTAGGTTTAGATTTAGGTTTTTTTTTTTTTGGAAAAGATGATGCAAGGGGCGATTTTGTCTTTTTACCTTAAAAAGTTGACTAAGTAATTATTTTTCTTCCCAACTCTCTCAAAATGCATGTGCAATACAATTTATATTAGTTTTAGACAAAATGTAATGGGAGCTATATAGTCCAAAATCACATGAGGGTCAATTAGCTATTTTCAAAAGGCAGGGGCTATGCTATTGGACCAAACCACAGGGAGGTAAAATGGATTTTGCCCCTTTTTTTTATTTAAATATGTTGATCTCATTTTATGCTTTCTAATCACAATGCTAACTTTCAATCTATAACGTGAAGAAACAGTTAAAGTCTAGAACCATAGGGTTTGGCAATTTCATGACTTATATTGTAGCTAGGGTGAAGAATAATCCAATATCCATAGAGGGGTTTGGAAAGGGAAAACTCATACAAGCCTCAAGCACTTGACAACTTCAAAGAGGCATCAAAGAGTCAAGGAAGATGAACTCAAGTCATGAACAAGAAGGATGTCCAAGTGACACAAGAAGACCAAAATGTCTTAAATAGAACCACCTAGGGTAAAGACTTGACTTTGGAAGACATTTATGCTGGTCCTGGTTAAGATTGGTGACCATTTTGGTAAATGAAGTATGACCTCCTAGCCATCCAAAACCATAACTTAGGATCTAGGTTTTTTTTTTTTTTATCGGCCATAACTTAGGTTCTAGTTTAAAATTTTAAATCCTTGCGTACAACCAATTTCAAATGAAACTAGATTTACAAGTTTCAATTTGAGCACAATTTTCACCCAAAACAGAGTTAAAATGAAAGAGTTAATAATCTTTTGAAGTAAGCCCTGTGTTGCGGGTGGAAGAAATCAAACAGACTTGAAAGATCAAATATTTTGGCCGGCCAAACTGGGTGCAGCTTGAAAAAAATAAACTAGCCATTATCTAGCAGTTGGAACACACGCACTATACGTAAGTTTCTTTCATTTTAAACACAGAACTTGATGATTTGAGACCCAATATTACCTTGAAGAAATTTAATGTATAAAGAGAAATAGAGAATTGTATTATTGATTTATGTATGTTGTTGTGTATATTACAAATGGTGAGTGGCTCATTATATAGGAGAGGGTGAGTGTAGTAGGTGAGGAGTAGGTGAGGAGTAGGTGGTGGTAGGTGATGGTAAATTGGTGGTAGGTGATGGTAAATTTTAACAGCCCCCCGCAAACTCAAGGAGGATAGAAACTAACCAACTTGAGTTTGGAGAGAGTAACAAAACAAGAAAATACATAAAAATAAAAGAGGATAGGAGACACTGTATGGTCGTGTCAGACCATTGGTGAAGACACTGGATGGTGGTGTCATAACGTTGTAGAGGACACTGTATAGGGGTGTCATAACGGTGTAGAGGACACTGGATGGCGGTGTCAGACCGATGTAGAAGACAGTTTATGGGGTCATGTCGGACCGTTGTAGAAAAACAGTTTATGGGGTCATGTCGGACCGTTGTAGAAAAACAGTTTATGGGGTCATGTCGGACCGTTGTAGAAAAACAGTTTATGGGGTCATGTCGGACCGTTGTAGAAAAACAGTTTATGGGGTCATGTCGGACCGTTGTAGAAAAACAGTTTATGGGGTCATGTCGGACCGTTGTAGAAAAACAGTTTATGGGGTCATGTCGGACCGTTGTAGAAAAACAGTTTATGGGGTCATGTCGGACCGTTGTAGAAAAACAGTTTATGGGGTCATGTCGGACCGTTGTAGAAAAACAGTTTATGGGGTCATGTCGGACCGTTGTAGAAAAACAGTTTATGGGGTCATGTCGGACCGTTGTAGAAAAACAGTTTATGGGGTCATGTCGGACCGTTGTAGAAAAACAGTTTATGGGGTCATGTCGGACCGTTGTAGAAAAACAGTTTATGGGGTCATGTCGGACCGTTGTAGAAAAACAGTTTATGGGGTCATGTCGGACCGTTGTAGAAAAACAGTTTATGGGGTCATGTCGGACCGTTGTAGAAAAACAGTTTATGGGGTCATGTCGGACCGTTGTAGAAAAACAGTTTATGGGGTCATGTCGGACCGTTGTAGAAAAACAGTTTATGGGGTCATGTCGGACCGTTGTAGAAAAACAGTTTATGGGGTCATGTCGGACCGTTGTAGAAAAACAGTTTATGGGGTCATGTCGGACCGTTGTAGAAAAACAGTTTATGGGGTCATGTCGGACCGTTGTAGAAAAACAGTTTATGGGGTCATGTCGGACCGTTGTAGAAAAACAGTTTATGGGGTCATGTCGGACCGTTGTAGAAAAACAGTTTATGGGGTCATGTCGGACCGTTGTAGAAAAACAGTTTATGGGGTCATGTCGGACCGTTGTAGAAAAACAGTTTATGGGGTCATGTCGGACCGTTGTAGAAAAACAGTTTATGGGGTCATGTCGGACCGTTGTAGAAAAACAGTTTATGGGGTCATGTCGGACCGTTGTAGAAAAACAGTTTATGGGGTCATGTCGGACCGTTGTAGAAAAACAGTTTATGGGGTCATGTCGGACCGTTGTAGAAAAACAGTTTATGGGGTCATGTCGGACCGTTGTAGAAAAACAGTTTATGGGGTCATGTCGGACCGTTGTAGAAAAACAGTTTATGGGGTCATGTCGGACCGTTGTAGAAAAACAGTTTATGGGGTCATGTCGGACCGTTGTAGAAAAACAGTTTATGGGGTCATGTCGGACCGTTGTAGAAAAACAGTTTATGGGGTCATGTCGGACCGTTGTAGAAAAACAGTTTATGGGGTCATGTCGGACCGTTGTAGAAAAACAGTTTATGGGGTCATGTCGGACCGTTGTAGAAAAACAGTTTATGGGGTCATGTCGGACCGTTGTAGAAAAACAGTTTATGGGGTCATGTCGGACCGTTGTAGAAAAACAGTTTATGGGGTCATGTCGGACCGTTGTAGAAAAACAGTTTATGGGGTCATGTCGGACCGTTGTAGAAAAACAGTTTATGGGGTCATGTCGGACCGTTGTAGAAAAACAGTTTATGGGGTCATGTCGGACCGTTGTAGAAACTACATTGCCGTGATTTTTTGGTTTGGAAATTTTGAAAGCTATCCTGGAGTGCTGTTGATTCAGTGGCTGATGGAGAACATTTAGATGCTTTCAGAGTTAATTTTAGTCCAACTGTAACTTAAATTTTATGGTTGGAAAGAATATAAGGAGGAACTGGAATACCTGCTCCCATTCTTTGTGGGTGTTTGGGAAGTGGGTTTTTATATAGGTTTTTTTAGTTGTAGGATATTATTGGAGAAATTTTTTTTTGTGTTTGAGAAGATAGTTTGGTTTTTTTGTGGTTGGATGTGATGTTTGTGAGAGAAAAAGTGAAATAATTATGGGGTTTGATGTGATATTTTGTTTGGATTTGTTTTTTTTGGTTTTGTAACCTTCTTGTCTTTAGTGAAAAAAAACCCAAAAAATTTGTTTCCAAACACCACCTTTGTCTTATCCAACATAAAGTGAACACAAATGAAATGTTTCAAATAATTAAAATGATAGAACACAATATCATTTAATCCATATTCCGAAAATCCCAAGTAGTCCCACTTTACATCCAAATCTAAAAACCTTATGCTGGCCACATACTCGAATGCAAGAAGAGCAATAAGGATGAATGAGATTCAATGAATTGTCAGATTTTGCATGCAGATAGACCTATTCTGTTACAAAAGTAAATAAACTAATTAGGTAAATAGGTTTACTCAGCCTTGTGTTGGAGAAACATGTCTTGACTATGAGAAAAAATAATTTTTTAGTTTGTTATTTCACAAAATTGTAATCAAATCATTTCACTTAAGTTTCATTTAAATACAACTCGTGCCTAACGGCTTAGTTTACTTTGAAAGTAAAATCTTTTATTGGGTTTTGTACCCCATATCTTTTTCAATGAACTAAGTTTCCTATAATGAGCAGCACAAGCTATGGAAAAGAGATTCATTTTATACAAATATAGGTTCCACATCTTTATCATGGGCATATTAAGTATAACAAAGGAAAGAAGACAAGCAGAAAACATATCAAAAAAGAAAAAATATAGTAATAAAAGAGGGCAAGCAGACAGATATAACACAAGTAAAAAACACCATCAACAATAAATATATGCAACAATTAATATCAGAAATGCATACCAATTTTCTTCCAGTTATTAGAAAATTGTGCAGAGCGGTTACTCCCAAATGAAAATACCTAAACCAAGTTTTGATAAACAACAATAAACACCTATAAAAGATCTCTTTCCAGTACACTAATATTAGAATAACCACGACAACAATAGGAATGACAAAGACAAGATCAAGAGTTCATAATATTTACGGCAGCCTTCTATGATTATTTTGTATAGCTGGCATTTCATGTTAGAATAATATATGATTATTTGGGTTATTATTTTGTAATTATTTTATGCCTTAAGGTTTCCTTGTAATTACTAATCTTTATTAATATAAATAGGGAATGATATCCTAATCATTCCCTAATCTTGAATTCTCTAAAATAACATAGTATCAAGCCAAACCCTAAAACCTAAATTACTCACCCATACAGTCGTCAATCACCGCCATCGCCACCCTAGAACCAAGCGTCACATCCCTCTGGTTCTCATCACAGAGCCAATCGTCAAAGAACCAGTCGTCACACACAGAGCCATCACAGAGCCAGTCGTTGGGCTCTCCCAACCCAGTCGGGCCCTGACGTCAGGCCTCCTGGCCTTAGCGTCGTCGGCGAGGGACGAGAAAAGGTTTGTTGTTGTCGTCTGTCCCTGTCGACGCCTACCTCTGCTTCGCTGAGTTACGTGATGATCTGAGTTAAATTCAATATTCAACAGCTGCTTCGTTTTTCCCTTTCATCTTAAAATATATATATATATATACATAGATTTTTTATTTATATATATATATATAAATCAATGTTGTAAAAAAATAAATAAATAAATAAAAAAAGAGGTTAATGAGATTTTAAGTCTTTAATTTTCTTAGTAGTCATTGTGTTTGTATTCCTCCACCTTTCGGGTTTGTGATTGACACTAATTTTGTTGAGGGTTCAGTAGTATAGTATCTATGGCAAATTCTACCGATGTGTCCACTACTTCTCAAACACCTAGGAGTGAGAGTTTCCCTATACCTATTACTATGACTGATAACCCCAACCCTAGTCTTAAAATCACTACCTATCTATTTAATTGTCAGAACTATCTCGCATGGTCGCAGAGTTTGACTATGTTTTTAAAGAGCAGAGAGAAGATGGGGTATGTGGATGGCCGGATACAGGCACCCAGCACAACTGACCCGGGTTATGACCAATGGGAGATTACCAACTCTTTGATTATGGGTTGGCTTATTCATTCGATGGTGCCAGACATTGACGAGGGCTACTTATCTATGGAGACTGCCCAGGATGTTTGGGATGCTGTGGCTACCACCTATTCCTGCAAATGGAATTTCTCACAAGCATTTGAGTTACGCCGCTCTATTGAGAGCTCTGTTCAGGGGGAGCAGACAGTTCTTCAGTACTTCACCTTCCTCACCAATGGCTAGAAATGCTTTGATCACCTGTAGGACTATAAGCCTGTTTGCACTGCTGATTTAGTCGGGTACTGGAAGTTTATTGCACAGGAAAGGGTCTTTAAGTTTCTAGCCGGTCTCAACGTGGAGTATGATCCGGTTCAGAGTAACTAGGTTACTCTCCTACTCAAAAAGGGTACAAGTGTTGTGTTACCACCCTCCTCGTAAGTGGTTTGTGTCCATGGATGTCACTTTCTTTGAGTCTCAGTCCTATTTCTTGTCCTCTCTGGTGTCACAGTCCTCCTTGTAGGGGGAGCCTTGGTGTGAAGCGATTCCTATGGTAGAACCAGTTGTTCTTGCACCACAACCTCTTACTAGTGGGACTACAGAACCCAATGTCACCAAGGATAGAGAAGGGCAAGTTTATGTCAGGGACAAAGACAGATAAAAAGTTAACTGAATACAAGAGACCACTTCTGCTCCTCCACTGCCATCTCCTGCTTTTGATGATAATGGGACTCCATCCGGGGGTCGAGGTGATCGGTCTGGTTCTAGAGGAGGTCGGTCAGGCCAGTCTAGAGGATGTGGCTCATTTTCCCGGGCTCATCAGTCTAGTGCCATTGATACACTTGATTCTAATTCTGCTTTCGTTGGCCAAGCTTCTGATTCTGAGTTTGAGGATGCTCTGCGCTAATTGCTGGACCGCCGGTCTTCTACTGCTCTCAGTACATCTTCCTCGTCATTTGCCCGCTCAGGTAACTTAGCCTCTTCTCCTTGTGTTTTCCTGTCTCATAAGTCTTTGCCTTGGATTATTGATTCTGGTGTCTCAGATCATATGTCAGGTTCCTCTGAACTTTTCTCTGCCTATAAGCCCTCTTCAGGTCAGGACAAAGTTAGGATTGCAGACGGTACTGTTTCTTCTATTTCTGGGAAAAGTTTAATCCATGTCACTCCTACTTTACCTCTCTCTTATGTTCTCTATGTTCCCAATTTTTCTGTTAACCTATTATCCTTGAGTCGTATTACAAAGGATTTGAATTGTAGTGTGACATTTTTTCCTGATCATTGTCTTTTTCAGGACCTTGTCACGAGGAGGACGATAGGTGGTTAAGAAGAAAGCTCATGTCTAATCACCTTAACAACCAGCTTTGCAGCAAGTTCCGCTGGTAAACCACGGCAAGACTGTGCTGCCACATCAGATGATAACGCATCCCATATACCATCAGATGCAATTATAAGTCTTCCTCCAGCGCTTGAAAGCTAAAAGGCCAATAAATAAAAAAGAAAATAAAATTCTTGAACTCCACATTCTACTACCCCATAAAAGTCAAGAAACGATCACCAAGAGAATTGGATTTACACACCTTCACCTGCTTAACATGAGGTATTGGGACAATGAACTCCCCCACATCTGTGTCACCAATTGACCTAGAAAGGCACAATCCACCAGGCCAGCATCGGAGTGGACCAACCTATGAACCAAACCAACAATCGAGAAATTGTCATTTAGATTCCTTAATCTACGAGTATTACGAGTGAACAACAGATTTATTTTTCACCTCATTGCCCCCGAAAACATTGAGCCTCCCCACTTCACCCCCACTTGCAGTGACACGCTCCCTCTCTTCTGCATTCTCTTCCAGCCTATGATCAACAGTTAACAGAGAAACCACACCCCCCTGTGTGTCCAATATGCATCGTGAATCCCCAACAGATGCAACAGTCACAGTCCACCCATCAATCACAACAAATGTAACAGTTGTCCCAGATGTCTCTCCTATCATCAATATCAAAAGGCAAAATAAGAACACAAAAAAGAAAAAAAAAAAAAAAAAAAAAAAAAAATGGAGCATAGAAACACTAATATGATGGAAGTAGAACATGCCTTTCTGCTGAAACTCTATGTCTGTTTTCACAAAACCAGCAACTAATCCCCGAGGAAGGGCTTGAAGCCACTCTTGCCTACCAATGCCTTGAGGAATTGCACTCATAACATTGTTCAACAGATTCTCCTTTGAAAATATAGCAGCCGATAGACCATTATGCCCATCAAATATCTATCATATAAACCCAATTCAATATGTCATTTTCTACTACAATCAATGCAGATACCATAAACCCAATATAATTCTTTTAAACAAGCTCATAAAAAATCAAATTGACAAAGCAACTACCGCAAAAACTGAAAATGATGTCGTCGGATTGCCCGGAATCCTTAGGCAGTCGGGTTTGATCTGAAAATAATCCTCGCCTTTCTTGGCCAGAGCAGCCTGCCCATACTTAATTGTAGATGAGAGGGACATTTCATAATCTGGCTTTGGGCCATGGTAATGGCCGGGCTAAAATTGGTCCGAGCGTGTTTGGGCCGAGCTGGGCTGGGCCGATCCAGGGGGAGTTTGCTCGGTTAAAGTCCAGGCCTGATTTGGCCGGGATGATTCTCTGTTTGCCCGGTTCATATTGTTTGCTCGTTTAGATCGGCAAGCAAGATCCTCCGCAGACCAGCCCAACCGAGAAAGAGCCCGGTCATAACGGAGGGCTACAAAGCTCTGTCATAACGGAGCTCGGCTAGGAGCACTATATGTTTCGGAAAGTAATACGGTCGTAGGAAGCTGTGGTAGCGCTGCCAGGCTGTCCGTTTGCGCCAATGCCGTTTGGCAGTTTGATTAGGTGGTGTTTAGCTGTATTTGTGCTAACACGTGAGAGAGCGGGATAGGAGAGCAGGTCCATGCGTCAGAAGGCGAATGGATGCAGAAGCACGCGCAGAAGGTATATAAGCGTGACTGTGCCCCCCATGCTGATGATGGAACACCTTCTGGTGAGAGAAACACTAATACATCTAAGTGTGTGTTGACTTGACCGTCGGAGGGGTTTTCTGACCACCGCCGGGTAGCTCACCTTCATTGTGTACGTCGGTCGATCGAAGGAAGGCGCAGCTTGGACGCGAGGAGTACGGGTGGTATCGAATATTTGCTCCCCGTACAATTGGCGCCGTCTATGGGAAGTTTAAGCAGACACAACCTTGCCCTCCAAGCTCATCGGATCACCCTCCATAGCAAACAACGACGAAGTACCATTGTCTGCCATCGATGGTATTACCCCAGAGTCAGTCTGACGGAGAGACGAACTTCCTGCTGTTCCGAACATGGCGGGCTTGGAGACTTCCTTAGGAGGACTTCTTAGAGATGCGCAAGATAAGCGCCAAGAGCTTTGGTCACTCGCAGAGTCTAGACGGATACAGGCAGCGAAGAGAGTCGCACGCTCAACGCCTGGAGCACAAGTTGAGGGATCAAGACGCCATCATCTAGAGAATGGGGGCAGAGATGGAAGCTCTCAAATGGCAAGTCAAAAGAAAGGGTGTTGCTGGAGTGGGTGACCACAGTGAGCGCACCCAACCCCGTTGCTCAGGCAGCCAGAGCCAGCGGCACACGCCCTCCTTTTCCATCACCAGAAGCTATGGGGTTGGAGACTCAGACCCGCCTGCAGAGAAGTCTAGCGCGCAAGATAGTAGCTACCATCCCTCACGTTCGCCGATGACATTGAGGTATTCTTACTCCGCTCATTCGGTGGACCTGAGGGACATCTTGAAGGAACGAGCTCACCGACGGGAGGTTCAAAGGGTGCCGGAGCTCTAGTAGTTATCCTACGGAGGTCACGCCAGTAAGGAAGTCATAATGTCGCCACCCCGTTCAGCCGTGCCTGTCCCTTTGGACAAAGATTTGGCGAGGCTGAGCGGCACCCCCTTCTCCCTTGAGATAGAGACCACACCGCTCCCAACGGGCTTTCA